AGATTGTGATGCGACCACAACCCACTGGGGAGTGTCTCTCTCTCTCTCTCTCCCTTTCTATATTGCTGTTTCTCTGTCTCTCTCTGGTGAGCATATGTACTCTCTGGCAATTAAAAGAAAACAATGAGGGAGACATACACAAGAAAAAGCTACACATTTGGAGAGATGGAATCCTGTCACCATTTCCTGTATATCATGAAATTAGGCTTATAAAGTGAAAAATGGAACTTAAAAAATAAACTTTTATCTCTGACACTTAGTAGTCAGTAAATTCCTCTGAGCCTCTTATATGTTAAATTCAGATAGTAATACCTGTCCCACTATTTAAGTTAGGATAGATAATATGAGAGAGTCTTCAAAAAGTTTGTGGAAACAATGCATTATTTTAAAAAAAGCATGAATTTCACATTTTTGCAACCAAAAGAAACTCATACTTTAATTCAAATTTTCCACAAGCATTTTGAATTTCCCTTATATATATTATAGTTAATTACTAGTAATAGTTAATTTTATGATGTGTATTTATCTGAGTCATTTTAAGAAACAGAAAGTAAGCCAATGGGGTCATGGCTCTAGCCAGGCACTGGTAATGAACAAAAAGGATTAATTTCCCTCACGGTATCTCTCCTATTTTTTCCCCATTTTCTACAGTGGTCTGTGTCATAATAAGTAGCATGGATGGCTATCCTAATGGAGAGCACTCTTGGTTCACAATCACATTGTGACTGACTGTTCTTCATTTCAGTTCCAAGCCACATTTCCCAAAGGTGATTAGCATAGCTAAAAGACTTGGTTAAAAAGCCCACCTTATATATGTTGCAATTACCAAGTACAGAGAAAATCATTTCCTTAAAATTATCACAAAAGGGGCCAGCGGATAGCACACCACTTATGTCATTATACTCCCACATGGCTGACCACAGCTCAAGTTCCCAAGTAGTGGTTTGAAAAATCATGCCAGGTGCATGTACTTGCATGCCCAAGATTCTAGGAGGAGAATGGAGGAGAAGGGATTGTGGTGTGGCACCCCCCCTCCCCCACCCAGGGGGTGATTTCTCACTTTCACTCTCACCGTTTTTGTCTCTCCCTCTCTTTGACAAGAGCACATGCCCTAACACAAAAAGAAACTTCTAAAAAATTAGTTTTATCATAATTAGATAAATTAGTTTATCATATTAAGTTATGCCATCTCTCTCAGCAGATGACATAGTGGTTATGTTGTTGGACTACCACATGGCTGACTGGTTTGAGTCCCAGACTTGGTGACTTGAAAATCATGCTGGCTACATGTGCGTGCATGCCCAAAACCCCAAGAAGAGAATGGAGGAGAAGAGATTGTAACATAGCCATCCCCGCTCGGGACTGATTTCTCACTTTCCCTCTTACTGTCTCTGTCTTTCTCATTCGCCAGTGATTGCACATGCCTGAAGGCATAAACATCTAAAAAATTAGCATAAAGAAGAAAAAATTGGAAATAATGAACTATGAAGCATGCTGAAAGGCTAAGCACACATTTGTCTATTTAACTTATGGATCAAAATTTTAATGTGAGGGGAATCACAGAGAATGTTCAATATATGCAGGCAAAAGATACAGAGACCTGGACAAAGAGAATTAGTAATAGAAATTGCTTCAGAGAAAAAAAGCTAGCAACAACAACAAAGTATAGGATAAATTGAGAAAAAAATATTATTTATGAGATGTTAGAATATTGTCCCTAGAAAACTGCTGGGAGGTCTACTGTTCATTTTGCACCAAACAGAAGTCTTGCACTTAGATATTGTAAAATGGTGTTTATGTACTCCAGTGGCCTGGCTTTGGAATGTTTATTCTGAATTTGTTTCTTCTAGCATACGGGCACCATTTAAGGACACATTCAAACTTTTCATGGGAGGTTGTCCAGAGACCTCCCTCAGTGTGAAAACTCTGCTTTGTTAGTTCACATTAAGAGCATTCTATAGGACTGGGACCAGCAGTTAGTGTAATGGCTATGTCACTGGATTCCCATGTTGTCGACCACAGTTCGAGTCCTGGATCTGGTGACTTAAACTCATGCCAGGCATGAGTGCATGCGTGCCCAAGATCCCGAGAGGAGACTGGAGGAGAAGGGATTGCAGCGTGGCCATCCTCCTGTGTGTGTGTGTGTGGGGGGGGGTGCGGGTAATTTCTCGCTTTCTGTCTCTCTGTCTCTCTCTGTCTTTCT